ACACAGGACCACTTAGGAAGCTTCTCGAAGTCACAGCTCTCATTGTTTGCCATGTGCTGTTCTAAGACCTCTAAATGTATTAACTTTGTAATCCTTGTACTGATCCCATGAAGTAGCAACTACTGTGATCACTTCCCCCTTTCTTCAATGGAGGTGTTGAAACACTTGCCCAAGATCACCAGTTAGGAGTAGAGCCAAGGTGTCTGGCTCCAGGGCCCATGCTCCTATCCACTAGCCGCTGTGTCCCAATATCCCCCGACACTTCCAGTGAGATGGGTTCATTCGTCTGGAGTTCACGTGGGTGCTTTGAAATCAGGGAGGAAAAGACATCATTCCTCATTGCTGTCAGGGCCACAAGGGCATTATGTTTTTTACTTCTTTATTTTAAATGTGCTTGGAGATACTGATGAGGTCTAGAAAAATTTTCCCTTCTCTTAAAAAAAAAGTTTTTCTTAAAACAAAAATAGAGAAGGAAAGAAGAAGGCAGAAAAAACAGAAAGAGGGAAAGGGGGGGGTAATTCAGCCAATGGGAAGCATTGAGGGGAGGAAGAGAAAACTCAGGATATGGCTCTTCCTCCTCTCAGCCTCTAGCATCCTTGGCTGTGGCTGCATTGCCCTGGCACCAGCCCTACCTGGCAAGCTCTCTGTGGTTCCAGCTTCCTCCAGGTGCTCCCAGATCTCGGGCTCTGGTGAGGGCTCTCTATCCCTGTCCCTCTGTCACTGGGTGGGAGGGGTCAGGGCTAATCACTCTTGCCTCTGTCCCCCTGTTGCAATCAATTCCTTCTTTTAAATTCCCCTTCTGGAAATACTTAGCCACGGTCTCTCTCTACCTGGACAGATCTTGTCTGAGCAGTCCTGTAATCTCTTAGAGCGCAGCAGCATGGGTGTGTTTAATCCTTCCAAGAGTAGAAGATGGGCTCATAAATAACCTTTCAATTTCTTTTCCATTCCAGAATTTCACAAAAGCATAATGTTTAGTCAGACCAAAACTATATTATGAATCCAGAGCAGCAAAGAGGAAAGGAGTTACACTAAGCTTAACCCCTTCCCACAGCCCCACGCTCCTCACACCTCCCCCCTCAACACTCCCTGTAATTATGTGGGTTGTGTTGTAACTGGTTCATTTAGCTGCTAAATCAGAGAGACTCAGGCATTCATTTCTCCTGAGAGTTCCGCAAAAATGCAGAAAAGGTTTTGGTGAAGTCTTGCAACCATCCAGTGGTGTCATTCAAATTGCAAGGATTCTCTGCCATGACAACGCTACCAGCCAAAACCTATCATGGCCCCCAGGAGTCCCAGGACACAGAGCTGAGGTAGACTGGTCTCTGCTCTCTGAGAGCTGACAGTCTAGCAGAAGGCTTGGCCTGAGGAGGAGGGTGGCCAGCATCATAGGAAGGGAGCCTGGGATGCTCAGACGAAAGAGATGAACTCAGACTTCCCCTTTCCCTACTGAAGTCTGATGGGAGAATCCAGGGAGGCTTTGACAAAGTGACAAAGGCTTGGCCTTAGAGGATGGGGAGGGAAAGCTGGGAGAAGGACATGGAAGGGGGCTCTGGATCTGAGCAGGAACGGCAAGCCAGGAGCCCAATGGGCATAACAGAAGGTTCAGGTTGATTTAGTGGAACCCCTCTGGTTGGAAGCAGACCCTCTGAGTGGTGATCAGACTCTTTGAAGCTAGATTAATGGGCTTGTTTTGTTCTATTTTATATTTCTTCTGCACACATGCTCTGTCTAGCTTCTCCGCTCTCTCTCCAGGTATCCCAGCTGGCTGAGCTGATCCTCAGGACATGAGGAGGCACAACCGCAGCTTGCTTTCTCAGCTTCTCGCTGCCTCCTGCCTGCCATTCTCTCCCTCTTTGCCTTTTTTCCAGTTGCCCTTCCTCAACCCCACTTTGGGGGTTTTCTTTTCCATCCTTCTGGTGGCCCTGCTGTTTGCTTGCTAGCTAAGTGATTTATACGTTCCAGGCTGGATCCAAGACAGTGTGGGATGAAAACCAAATGCAAATTGGCTAGAAGAAAGGGTCAGAATAAACACAGACTGAAGACCCCAAACCAACAGTGTCCAAACTTGCGCATGCATCTGCGCTGTCCCCATGGGGCCCTCCAACTCTGCTCAAAGCAATCGCCAGGGCTGTCCTCCAAAGACAGTGGGGGAGTTGGAGGGAAGATCTCTTTGCACTTCCTTCTTTGCCTTTTAAATTAAAGGTGGATGTGACCTCAGGGCTTTGTACAGAAAACCTCTGAGGGCCAGTGGAGTGACCCACTTACCCTACCATTCCCCACCCTGCTGGGATCCTTCTGCTACTCCAACTCCATCACTGCAGAGACTCAGTTCCTGCACTCTGGGGTTCAGATGTGCATCTGCTGAAGAATCTTCCAGAACTGCAACTCCCATCTGCACTGGGAGCATGTCTGGCCCACAACAGCTCAGGCACTGTGGGAAGGGCCCCGGTTATGCAGTGTGAATTCATGTAAGACTTTTTCCTGGGAAAGGACTCTTGCAACCATAGCTTGGGGAATTGTCTTTACAATTACCACTTCCTCTTAGGGAGTCAGCAGCCTGGGCTCAAATCCTCCTTGGTCACTAAGATAGTTTTGTGACCCTAGACAATTCACAGCACCTCTCTCAGCCGACATTTCTCCATCCATTCAGTAAATATTCACATAGCAGCTACTGGCACCAGGAACAGAGAGGGGAGCATGATTGGTAAGTCATCTTAAAATTTACAATTGCATTATGGGAGTTACTCAGTAAATGAGTTTTTAAAAATCAGAGGGTAGGGGGAGACCTTTGAAGAACAATTTGGCATGATCTAGAGAAGTTGAAATCTGACTGCTCTTTGACCCAGTAAGTCTACTCTTAGGTATATACCCTAGAGAAATTCTTAAACATTCCCAGAGGACAAAGAATGAACATAAAAGAATTTAAATGACAACTCATAGGAAAATGAAGGATGTGTGATATGTTCCCACAATGGTGTAGAGCAGTGAAAATGAATGACCTAGGGCTGCACATATCAACATGGACTATCTCACAAGCATAACTTAATGTTGCAGAAAAATATGTAAAGTGTAATGCCATCTATGTAGAGTTAAAATGGACAAAGTAATACTAGATACTATTTAGTGGTGAGAGTATTTTTTACATGGCTGGGCATTAAAAAGACCAAATTAGATTAGTACTTTCTTCTGTGGAGGGAGAAAAGAGGATGGCATTGGGGGGTAATACATAGGGGATATCGCCTGTATTGATAATATTTTGTATCTTAACCTAAGTTGTGTTTACATAGCTTTTATCATAATATTCTTAGTATTTTGTGTATATATTTTAAATGTCGCCCTATAAAAATTTTAAAATTTATTAAATAATGATAAGTGCCCTGAAGAAAATAAACATCTGAAGTGATTGGGAGTGATTGAGGTTTGGTCGGGGATACTGGAGATTGGGTGGTCAAGGAAAGCTTCTCAGCAGAGGTACTAGGTTGAGCTGAACCATGACTGATATGAAGGGAGCAGCCATGACAGTATCTAGGGGAGGAGCATTGCAGGTGGAGAGAACATCTAATGCCAAGGGTCATGAACTATAAAGGGCCTAAGATTTTACCCTCCTTGCAAGATAGCAAGATAGCCTGACTTAGTCGTGTGGATGCTGACAGAAGACATGAGACTCCTGGGTCAGAGCAAGAGATTTTATTATTCACAGCAGGAGGCAGCATGATCTTTCTGTTCACATTGCTTCTTCTCACTCCCCTTCCATGATCAGTGTTCAGAGATAAAGTCCGTATAACTTCCTCATAGATTTGGATGTGGAGAACGAGATAATCACAGAAATTTAAGATGATGATATGATTTGGCTGTGCCCTCACCCAAATCTCATCTTGAATTGCAGTTCCTAGAATCCCTACGTGTCATCGGAGGGAACTCATGGGAGATAATTGAATCATAGGGTTGTTTCCCCCATGCTATTCTCATGAGAGTGAGTGAGTTCTCCTGAGATCTTAGGGCTTTATAAGGGATTTCCCATTCACTCAGCTCTCATTCTTTTGCTTCCTGTGGCCATGTTTGCTTTTCTTTCTGCCATGCTTGTAAGTTTCCTGAGGCCTCCTCAGCCATGCTGAACTGTGAATCAATTAAACGTCTTTTTAAATAAATTATCCAGTCTCAGGTATGTCTTTATTAGCAGTGTGAGAATGGACTAATATAGATGATTTCTAGATTTGGGGCTCCACTCCAAAAAGTATGAATTGAAGGACCAAGTAAGGGATGGGAAAGATTCAAAAGCAGTACTTCAAGGATGAAAAGGTTTCCGTACCTACTGACATCTAAGTGGAGGGGCAGAGAAAGCGGCTGGGAGTAAGAGTTTGGAGTTTCATGACAAGGTCAAGGCTGGAGGTCTAGACCAGGGAGTCCCTGGCAGATGGAAAGTACTAACAGCCCTAGGACTGCTGAGCTCACTTGAGAACACTTACCACATTTACCATACTCACCTGGTCAGCAGAACCACCTGGAACACAAGTTAACAACATAGATTCCTATGTCCCTTTCACATCTTGCATTCTAAAATCTTAGGACTAGATATATATTTCTGTACACATTCAATATGTACTGAATATTTATTGAGCACCTATTATGTTTCAAGCAATGTACTGATTGTGATTGGTGAAGCTATAACAGCATCCTGTGGCTATGAAGAAAGGCCAAGAGAACCACTGAGACTTTGGCATTAACTTCATTGAACCAACAGACCAGCATCTAATATCTACTTTCAGACTTCTCACTAGGAGGAAAAAATCATCCCCTATTTGTTTAGGTCATAGTGAGGTTTTGTGTTGGTTTATTACTTTCTGTCAAAAGCATTCTGACCTGATACACACATTCTATTGTTCTACTTATAAATCTAGTAAACAAATAAAATAAAACAAATCTCTCTGGGGAAGAGGGACTTTAATTAAAATTTGATTAACTTAAGCTAAATAAACCAAACTCGCTTAAATCATCAGTCTCAGTTACAGGCTTTGTTTATTAAAATCTCTTAAACATTCTAAACTGCTTGTATAATTTATCATATTTGGTTTTCTATTTTAGTGCTTCAAATCATTGATATGGCAAGATTATACCAAATTAAGATGAAACATTCTCATATACTTGAACGTCCCTTGTAAATCTAATACATTTAACTTATAAACACAGTAAATCTAGTCTAATACCATTAATGAGTTAAGTTAAATATTCTTATACCTTTCAACTTCAAATGACAAACTTAAATTTCACATTTCAGATTGGAATCATATAAGCTTTTTAAAGATTCAAATCACTTACGGAAAATACACAAGATTATTCCTAAACTTAACATGAAAGTATCAATATTATGGATTTGAATTATTGCATCATTTTCGTAATTAATTCTACACATTCCCAGACTTAAGTCATTTGCCCAACAAGGGAACTGATTTACTATTTACTATTGTTAAGGATTCATGCCCACAATATGGCGGATGTCTCAGATGAGCAGAGGTTGCTTAGGAGCTCAGGTCAGAAGACAATACTCCAGCGCTGGGAGACAGTGCTCTGAGTGCCGGCGTTACTGTGGCAACAGGAGGCTCCCAGTCTTCACCCTTCAGAGGGGTTTGATTTTAGAACCTTTATTCCAATTACCTCTTAATTACTATTTTTATTTTTAATTATTAGAGTAGAAGGACGTTGGAGATTCCACCTAGGTTAGCTAACAACTTCCTTTATGATCTCATTGGCTTCTGCATTTACTTGGCACTCTGCAGGCATTGCTAACATATTTCCATCTCACTCTAAAGACATTTATGTGCTGTTGAATTTAATCCTGAACATTTGGCTCTGAGCCATGACTCTCAGGTCATGATAATAACATAAACCATTCCTCTGTCTCGTGACTTTTTAGGAATTTCCCAAATGAGATTATAGCCTCTCACATTTCATTAGAACTACTGTATTTAGCTTGGCAGGATCTCAGCTTCAGGGACTGTTCTCCCTTGTGCCTGCCCCTGGATGTCCTGGACGTCATTAGCTGAGGCCACCCAGATAGGGAGCGGACCTGGCATCAGCCTTAGATGCATCGGCCCATTGCCTCCACTTCCTTACCTTCCCCACCTCCAGTTCTCTGCTATTCACACTTTCTAAAAGGTAGAGAAACGCAGCCATTTTTGAGTCTCCAGCCTTTTTTGTGAGGTGGGTGGGGGCAGGAGAGGGAAGGCACAGTAGCAGCAGAGCTGGAGCAACCTTTCTTCTGTACCTCTCATTACTTGTATCTATGAGTGAATTGAAAACATGGCATTACCATTGTTTCTGTTTCACACATATTGTAAGAGAGCACTCTGCTGATACCTAGCAAAATAACAATTATATTTCTCATGCCTCTCAGGCGCAATATCCACTGATAACTATGTGTTTTTCTTCCAGTTATGGATAGTCCTAAAAGATGCTTACAAAATGTCTTCACAGCAGTTTGAATACTCTTCGGGAACTCCAATATTTAGAAAAACTAGCCTGGATGTGATGGTGTGCACTTGTAGTGCCAGCTACCTGGGAGGTTGAGGCAAGAGGATCACTTGAGTCCAGAAGTTGGAGGCTGCAGTAAGCCACAATCACACCAATGCATTCTAGCCTGGGTGACAGAGCAAGAATAAAGTAAATAGAGAAACCAATTGGTGGATCATCTTTGCAAGGCGAATCATCCCCAGTTTCTAAATTTGTCTTAAAATGGGGTGCACTTTGTTGGGGTTTGAGCATGAGCAATAACTATTTACCACCAATTTAATGCATCAGAGAAGTCACCCTTCCTTTCACAGGGAGGAGCAAATAAGAAGAAATGCTAGACTCTCCTGTACTTCTTGATGGAAGTTTCCATTTTGTGGGCAGATGCAGGAATGTCTAGGAATAAGTCAATCTTAGATCTGCTTTATGTATGTTTGTATTGATTTTCTTTGACCCAAAGTGATGCTGAGCTGTGTCAGACAAATATCAACCAGTCTTAGTGTTCCAGAAGAAAATATGCCTTTCACTGTCCTATTCTGATTTCACCATTTTCTTCAACTTTCCTTCTCCCCTCCTTTTCTTTGTTGTTATATCCAGTTTTATTTTTCAAATTCAGTCATGTATTTTGGAGAAGAGACATCCAGCACCTATGCACATCTGGGCCCCATTCCTTGCAGGTGCAGGGGGATGATAACATTGATAACATTGCTCCACCTCCTGTGAGGTCACATGACTAGTTCTAGCTAATGGTCTGTGAGAGTGAGGCGGTCACTCCTGGGCCAAGGTAGAATGGAATTGTTGGGGTGAGCTCTTCCAGTGTTTTCTCTAGCCATGCCCTGGAAGATGCATCCTACAGGATTACTGGGTTACCCCATGCAAGCAATTGTCTTGGAAGGTTTCCAGGCTCGCAGGGGACTTTGCCTGCCCAAGAAATGAACTTCTATCATGTCAAGTCATAGAAGCATTGCATTTGGTGATTGCCAGTGCCCCGTGGTTCTCAAAAAGTAGTACCCAATCACCAGTATCAGTAACACTTGGGAATATTTTAGAAATGGAGCATTTGGGCACCACGCAGCCCTGCTGAATCACATGCCCGAGGGTGTGGCCCAGCAATCTGTGCTTTAACAGACTCCCAGATGAGTAACGTCAGCAAGTATGAGGACCGTGGCTCTACCCTATGCTGGCTAACACAGCTTTCAAATCAGTGTTCCCTTTTGACAAAGTAGAGTCTTCAGGTGAGTCCTATCAGTAAGACAAACCATTTTCAAGTTTCTTAATTAAGCATCCTTCCTCACAATGATGCAATCATTCCATTATTTTTTCTGTTTTAAGGCCTCAAAACAGCAAGAGGACCTATAAGCCTCCCACACCACTATTTCTAACTTTGAACACAGTTGTCACATGACTGCATTTAATGAACACATAAAAGAAGGTTAATAAGAGCTTGGGGCTGCAGAGAGAAGGAAGAAAATTGTCTTTACTTTTTCAGACACCAGTGATGGCTGGGGGACTGTGCTGATTTGCCCTGATCATGATGCTGCAGCAGAAGTTAGTGTGGGGCGTGCTGGGGTAGAAGAAGTGGCTGGTGTTTCTGGTCACAGGAGACCCTCCATTCCATGGGGCAGGCAGGTTGAAATGGATTTTATGTTCCTTCCAAGGGCTTCCCTCCTTTCCTTGATTACTCAGTCAGTTCTCTGCAAGCAATGTGAGCCTCTCACCTTATTTCTCCTCCGGTTCTCATTTTCACACCTCTATCTATCCAAATGGGGGACGTTCCAAGACAATGCAATGAAATAAGCATGATATCTGCTGTCTTCAGTAAATCGCTTAACCTAACGATGTACTTAGAGGGCTCTTTTAGGCAAATTATTTATATGACTCAAAGAAATGCTTATTTACATGTATTTTCATTTAGATTTGACTGTGTTCAAACATAAATTTTAGATAAGAGTATAATGAGAACTGTATATGCTCCACCTAACATTTTACCATGTCAGTTCTCTCTCACACTCTCTGAACACACATACGCACGCACCTTCTTTTTTCCTGAAGTTGTCAATATGATGCTTCATCTCTCAGTGCGTCAGCATGCACCACTCATATCACTACAATATCACCCACCACCAGATCCACATTCAACATTCCCACTTGTCTTTTATACCCATGAGATTTTTCCTAAAGCAAAATCCAATCAAGGCTTACACTTTGCCTTTGGTTGTTGGGTCTCTGGTTATCTGGAACAGGGATCAGGCTTTAGCAGGCATGCAGGTCACCCGGGGATCTTATTAAAATGCAGATTTTGATTCTGGATGTCTGAGTGAGACCTGAGAGTCTTTGATTCTAATAAGCGCCCGGGTGATGCCAATGATGCTAGGGGCCTAGGACCACCCTTTGAGTAGCAAGAACGGGACAGTCCCCCTCTCATTCTTCCCCCAATGACACTTGCTCCTTAAAGAATCCAGGCCTATTTCTTGTAGAATGATGCACATTTTAGTTATTCTACCACAACATTAACTTCCTTATCCTCTGTATTTACTGTAAACTGAAAGTTAGGTGTAAGACTTGATTAGTTTCCATTGACATCTTTGGAAGGAATATTTCATAATGCATCCAACAGGGGCACCTAATGTCAGTTATCCTACCATTAATGGTGTGTTAGAACTTTATCACTAGGTTAAGGTAATGGCCAGATCTTTCCATTGTATGTAGTTTTTTAAATAAAAATTTTAAAAGTGCCTGCAAAGAGTGAGAACCACGGGGCAGTAGCAATCAACAACTCCAATGCTTCGGAACTAAATAACCTGGCTGCATATCAGATGGATAATATCAATTACACGGAGAAAAAATTCTTTCAAGTTGGTCTCTGATGGGGTAAGTCTGACTTCCTGCAGGGCAACTCCATCTGGCCCTGCAGCTGCCCCTGATCCACAGACAGGCTTCTCTAAAGAGGAGGGAGTCCCTCACCTACCCTTGTTACCTTTGCTCTCCTGAATCCCAATCAGAGCTGCCTTGCAATGACAATGGTGTCTACCACAGTAAGGGCACCCACCATTTATGAAAGTTAACCGTGTACCAAACAGCATGCCAAACCCGAAAAAGTAAGTGCCATGGATGGAATGTTTGTGTCCCCACAATTCATACGTTGAAACTCTAACCCCCAATGTGACGGTATTAGGAGAGGCGCCTTTGGGAGGTGATAAGGTCATGAGGGTGGGGCCTCATGATGGGATTAGTACCCTTATAAAGGGAATGCCAGAGGCTCTAACCCTCTTTCTACTACATGAGGACACAATGAGAAGTCAGCAGTCTGCAACCCAGGTCAGGGTCCTCACCAGCATCTCACCATGCGGGTACCCTGACCTTGGACTTCCAGCCTCCAGAACTGTGAGAAACAAATTTCTGTTGTTTGTGAGCCACATAGCCTATGGAAATTTTTTATAGAGAGGGTTTTCTCAAGGAAAATGAGGAGAACGAGAAGAAGCAAGAAGAAGAAAGGCACAGTGGAAGGGGATAAAGAGGTCAGTGGAGTTGCTTGATAAAAAATCATCCAAGCTGTGTAAGAGTTTGCCTTTACATGCAACACCCCTGGGCGGACGGCAGAGGGTGATGGGTGAAGACCACATCTGGCATTCCCAACCTGGCACCTGTGACCCCATCAGTCCCAAACAGCTGTGCTATCATGTGGAGAAGAGGGGTCAGTGTGTTTCATGGGGTGGGGTAGAAGAGAAGGGAGATCCTATGGGTGCTATGCATGGCAAGCAGCTCTCTTTAAGAAAAAGCAAGCAAGCCCTGATTTGTAGTGGTTGTGGTGTAAATTCTCCCACCATGGGCAATTTCAAGCTATGAATGTTTAATAATTGGCTTGCAAGATTCTTGAGTATTTAGCAGCTTCTGTGAATTGCTGCAAGTCAGATCTACTACAACACTAGGCAGTGCAACGGACAGTTTACATGCCAGCGAGGCCCATGCCACCCAAGCGTGCCCTGTCCTGTTCTGTGAAGGACTTTGTTTTTGTTTTTTGAGACAGAATCTCACTCTGTCACCCAGTCTGGAGTGCAGTAGCACATCTCAGCATCAGCTCACTGCAATCTCCATCTCCCAGGTTCAAGTGATTCTCCTGCCGCAGCCTACTGCGTAGCTGGGATTACAAGCGTGTGCCACCGTGCCCAGCTATTTTTTTTTTTTTTGTATTTTTAGTAGAAATGGGGCTTCACCATGTTGGCCAGGCTGGTCTCAAACTCCTGAGCTCAGGCAATCCACCCTCCTTAGCTTCCCAAAGTGCAAGGATTACAGGCATGAGCTACTGCACCTGGCCACATTTTAGTTACTTCAATGGTTATGTATCCAAAACTAGCAAGGTGTCCCTGAAGTTCAGTTTAAAAAGTATATCTCAAAAGGATATCCTTTGTCTAAAAGCCAACAGAAATCCAAGAGCAAGAGACCATTTGATTAATCTAAATTTAAATTCGAGTCATCATGTAGCTGAATTTTTGGGACTGTGATGAATTTCTGACTGTCTCCTCTACGTGAGTTTTTAAAAATAAAAGAAAAAAGCCAATAGCGATTTTCTAGAATAACTTTTAAAACTTAAAAACTAGGCCACGTTCTTTATAAAGTGTTCATGCATTTCCAAAGTGGATAAGAAACAGGACTTAGGGGCGTGAAGTGCCACAGAGTGTGGAGAGGCTTCTTGACACCTTGTGGCCACCCGAGAAGAGGAGGGACTGGGAGACCTGACACCTGGGGAAAGGGCAGCCAAGAGACCCCAGAGGAGCAGGCGAGAGGCACAGGGAGAAGCAGGCGCGCTGCCTCCCCACCGCACCCTTGGGGGTCCCTGCCTACACCGTCACCATGATCTGGTCCAGAGGTTTGCGCTTGAGGTCAGGCACCGTGGCCTCCTTGCTGGGGTACCCCACGGGGAGCAGCATCAGCAGCTTTTCATGTGCGGGGCGGCCCAGGAGCACCCTCAGTCGAGGGCCACAGTTGAGAGGAGTAGTAGTGACAGTCACCAGACCTGCATTCTAAAATAAGAGAGGGCAAGAAGGCATTTTAAAGTCAGCAGGCAGAATGACAGCTCTGCCTCTAGCCTGGGGACCTTCTTGTCCCGATTATACCTGCTCTTCCTGTCATTTCCCTGAAGTTAGGTAGCAGAGAGGCTGCCGGCTCAGGTAATGGTATCATGAACCTCCCTGCCCCTGTCAATCTCCCCACCTCCTCCCTTCTTTTCCAGGCAGTGGGGAGCTTCTGGAATAATAAAAATACTATTATTTTTCATTGATGCTTAAGAAATAGGAATGATTATTTTATAGAAAAATACTGTGGGATTCCAATCACAGTAAAGAAAAAGCAAAACCAACAGGGAGTTCCTTTTAGCTAAGGGGTTGGTTGGTCTGTGTCCTGGTACAAGAACCAAATGAGAAAAGCAGTCCATCAAAGCAACGTCCTAGCCCAAATACAGCATAATTTTCCTGCTAAATACTCTGTTTTTTTTATTTCTTTTTGAGGCAAGGCCTGGCTCTATCGCCCAGACTGGAGTGCAGTGGCATGAACTCAGCTCACTGTAACCTCCACCTCCTGGGCTAAAGCTATCTTCCCACCTCAGCCTCCCAAGTAGCTAAGACTACAGGCATGCACCACTGTGCCCGGCTAATTTTTGTATTTTTTGTAGAGATGGGGTTTTGCCGTGTTGCCCAGGTTGTCTCAAACTCCTGAGTTCAAGTGATTTGCCCCTCTTGGTCTCCCAAAGCGCTGGGATTACAAGTGTGAGCCACCATGCCTGGTCAATTTTCCTACTAAATATTCTTTCCTGAATTCTAGTGATCTGCCTGGGATCTATGATTTGTTACCAATAACTCTAATATTAGCATTTGAACCCATACACACACACACACGCACACACACACGAATCTGGAGTGACTTGACATAGTTTCTTGCTGAAGATCTCTCATACGACATCATTATATATCTTGATGCATAAGGATTTTACAATGCCTAGAGACTGTTCTCAAGAATACATGCATCCAAAAATCTAACTGATTTCATCTTTCTGTCATTACCTCTACTTTATTATGGTATTTCTTCTTCTTGATCATATGTTCACATAGTATTTGAACTTGGAATGGATACATCTTCAACTTTTTTGAGAAAATATTTACGTCTTAATTTGGTGCCACTTTATATTTTGGTCCTCTTTCAAGACATAGTTTTTACTCCATACTGAATTTTGTATATCTCTAGCAGTAGAAATTTGTAAATTCGCAGACCATATTAAACAGTTTCTCTTATTAATATTATTAATATTGTGTTGACTTCTATTATTATTTCCTCTTTCACTCTCTCAATGTGAGTACTTTGGTCTTCTTATAGGTCAGGAATTTTTTTTTTTTTGGGATGGAGTTTCGCTCCTGTTGCCCAGTCTGGAGTGCGTGGTGTGATCTCGGCTCACTGCAACCTGCACCTCCTAGGCTCAAGTGATTCTCCTTCTTAAGCTTCCCGAGTAGCAGGGATTACAGGCATGCGCTACCATGCCCAGCTAATTTTGTATTTTTAGTAGAGACAGGGTTTCTCCATGTTGGTCAGGCTGGTTTCAAACTTTCAACCTCAGGTGATCCACCCGCCTTGGCCTCCCAAAGTGCTGGGATTACAGTGGTGAGCCACCATGCCTGGCCAAATCAGAAATTTTTAAAATGGAATCCTCAGACCCCCAAAGGGCCAGCGATTTAATTCGGCAGATCTAATTTGGATTTGAAAAAAAAAGGGCTTTATATTCACTGACATCTAACTGAAATTTTCTTCCTTTATAAATATAGGCTACAAAACACAGTAGTGTTAGCAATATCTATGGCTTTATCACCAATGAAATCCACAGTTATTTTCATATCACTTTACAGTTGTTAAAGATATTTTAAAATATCATTGCTTTCATCACTACTTAAAAATTATAGAGCTACTGCTAGATCTTGATATTTAATGTATTAATAAAGGCTTCATATTTTATTCTAAACAACCACCACCACAGTGAGTTCCTATGACTACCGAACCAACCATGGAAGTATTGCATCCGCACCCAGTGAAATACTGATGCCCGTTGATAGGGGCCTCAGTGGCCAAGGGGTACCCCATCGACCTCTTTCTAAGCCTCCAAATAGCAAACACCTAAGTAAACGCAATGAGTTAGCTTCCAGACACTTCCCCCACTGCCTCTCTCCAGCTTTTCCAAACAGATCACCACCTCTAAACCTGACCAGGAACTTCTGGAAGCTGCCTCTCCAAGACATGTCTGGCGAGCTTGGTGGACCCAGTCATCATAGTAAAGATGGGGGCTCCATGGAGCTTTTCCTTTCCTCCCTCACTTATCATGACCTACTCTCAGGATGATGCCTTATGGAAAGCTAGGGGGCAGCAAACTCAATGGCAAAGTGGAAAAGACTGCGGGCTGCAGAGGCACCCAGGCAGCTTTGTGAGCTGAGCTTGCTGCAGGCTTTGCTGGCTTCTTCCAGGACCCTCAACCAGGTGGCAGTGCCCTGCGGTCTGACTCTGAATCACGATTCCATGATTTACCTGCTTACAGATTCAGGAAGGAAATCAATGCCAGCTCCTTCAGGATAATTTCCCCAATAACCTAAAACACATTTCTTCTGTGTAACAATGACTACATTTTGGGAGGTGTTATTCAACACACACGTTTTTCTTTTTTTTTTTTTTTATTGTACTTTAGGTTCTGGGGTACATGTGTAGATCATGCAGGATTGTTGTATAGGTACACACATGGCAATGTGGTTTGCTGTCTCCATCCCCCCGTCTCCTACATCTGACATTTCTCTCTATGTTATCCCTGCTCTCCCTCCCTTGGCCCCCACTATGTTATCCCTCCCTGATCTTCCCACTCCCCTGCTGTCCCTCCCTTGGCCTCCACCAACAGACCCCAGTGTGTGATGCTCCCCTCCCTATGTCCATGTGTTCTCATTATTCAATACCTGCCTATTAGTAAGAACATGCAGTGTTTGATTTTCTGTTCTTGTGTCAGTTTGCTGAGAATTATGGTTTCCAGATTCATCCATGTCCCTACAAAGGACACGAACTCATCATTTTTTATGGCTGCATAGTATTCCACGGTATACATGTGCCACATTTTCCTTGTCCAGTCTATTGTCAATGGGCATTTGGGTAACATACATGTTTTTCTTTGAGACAGCAAAGAAGCACATTTTTTTTCTTTTTGGAATTCATTGTCCTTTAAAAGTATGATTACTTGCTCCTATAATCTTGTTTTCTACATTTATTTTATGCATTTACCATCTCTCTCTATTCCCTACCTGGCCCCCAGTCTCTGCTAGAATATACGGTTAATCAGACAACTATCCCTGGTGGCTCCCAGGAACTGCCACATAGAGGCTGGGCATGGTGGCTCATGCCTCTAATTCCAGTACCTCAGGAGGCTGAGAAGAGTGAATCACTTGAGCTCAGGGGTTGAGACTAGCCTAGGCAATATGGCAGAACTCCATCTATACAAAAAAATGCAAAAATCAGCTGATCTTGTTGTAGTAGCGGACTTTTTTCTTGCCATTTGCAGCAAAACCAGGTACTTGTTTGAAAATGAGAATCAAAATAGGGGCGGTATCCAAGTACTCTTTGGTCCAATTGGTTCCAGGACTAATCCTGTAGTCCCAGCTATTCAGGAGGCTGAGGTGTGAGGATCACTTGAGCCCAGGAGATTGAGGTTACAGTGAGCTGTGATGGCACCAGTGCACTCCAGCCCGAGTGACAGAGTGAGACTGTCTCAAAAAAAAACCCAGAAAATAAAAAGCTCAGAAAATATTTTCTGAGTGAATGCATTGTTGAGTGAATGCAGGAATAGTTTGAAATCTATACAGCAATCCTGCTCCACTTCATGTTAGCACTGCACTCATTCCTATGTAAATGGAGTTTTTTAAAGCACGTGACCATCTTCCTAATGCCATGCAATACAAACTTCTCAGAAAAGGGGCTCTATGAAGAGCCCTTCTTATGGCTTTTCAGTCATTCCATCATCTCAGCTAGCAATAGTAAATGTATCCAGGGAGTTTGTCTTTGTGATTTTTAGGCTCCAAAATTCTTCATGCATGCCTGACAAAACCTTGAAACTTCATGTTGTTACAGATGACAGCAAACACAACACCAATTTTTCTAACATTGAAATGACGTTTTAAGGGAATTCCCAGCTTGTTGAACCATCATACTCAGCAATCCAGGTTTCCAGAGTCAGTTTTCACATCAGAGTTACCTTACTTAGGAATTCTACTTTAGATAAAAAAAAAAAAAAACAATGCCCAAATGTCTCTGAAGTGAAAACTCAGCTGAAATGTTCTAATAAGGTCACCCTTTAACCCTTGATGTCTCAACATACCTGCAGGGCAGCTAGCAGGATGCCACAAGCGATGGAAACACTGATCTCATTGTAGTAGTGGACTTTTTTCTTGCCATTTGCAGCAAAACCATGTAGTTGTTTGAAAATGAGAATCAGAACAGGGGCAGTATCCAAGTACTCTTTAATCCAATTGGTTCTGGGAAAAGAAAAGAAATTCCTGAGAATATTTGCCTGTATTTTTTGTTCCCTTTTTACTACCTTAGCTTCTTTATGATAAAAATAAAAACATGTTTACTAATTGTGGGAAGTAGGAAAGTTCTTCTTCAAAGTTTTCTTTCTTGTTAAAGAATAAATATTTTTTGCTTTTTGTTAATAACTCTTTGTTAAGCCCTATCCTATGTAGCTGTTAAACATGCTTATAGGCACGTAGTGCATTCTATGTCCTTCTACATTAACCAAGATATCTGTGCTGGACGTGCCCATATGCATGTTTCAGCGCGCAGCCTATGCTCCTTCCTTATTTGGACTTCCTTTTGGTTCTCCATTGCTTTTACCTGTTTATAAAAGTTTTAAGTTATTAGCCAATTGGGTTTTAGTTTAGATTGTGAAGTCTGGCTCCAACCAGTGGAGATCAGACACAGCAGTAAGGACAACCCCACATGCATAAAGGATAAATATGTCTGCTTTTCCTTTGTTCATTGTACTCTCGTGACAAGATGGCCAGGAAGGTTACCTTTCCTGCAGAAAGTAAAAATTGCCTTGTTGAGAGAGCCTTTGTTTCAGTGCTAATTTTTCTTTGCAGCACCGAGCATCTGTTTCCAACACTCACTCATCTTTTATATTTCAGTTGAAAAGCTGCAGAATTTTTGTTTTTGTCTCATTCCTCTTTTTCTGACCAGGATCATTCAGTTTCATAAACATGTATTAATAAGTGCCTGGCATGGCAAGACATATGAAATGCTGAAAGATAGAAGGACAGGTCCTACTACCCAGCATGCAATGAGCCAAAATTCTGCAAGGGAGAAGACAAGGACATCAGTGAGGTTCAGCCAAAACCACAGGTGGGGAGATGGTGATGCTGTTGCCCAGTTGTGGAAAAAAGGAAGGGAACTTCTGTGAGACAGGGAGATCATTCATGTGAGATATAAATACAGAGCTGAATTTTTGCTTTCCAGCTCAGAATATCTCTTTCTTGATTTCATTACCCTGGCCTACACATTTTGGCAAAAGTTTTATTCTAGCACAGATAGTCAAAGGACAGAGAGTCCTATTATCCCATATATTGGGATTTTACCTTAGGATATCTATGTCTATCTTGCTAATGAGCAAGAGACAATCACCTTTCATTTCATTTGTAGCCTAGTTATGCTCACTGTTCCAAAGCACATGAAGCTCACTTGTATATTTCTCCATGGTTCCTCTTATGCTATGAACATCTGTATGTTGCACTTTCAAAGCTACTTAACTATACTTCAACCAGCTTAGTCACATTTGACTGTTATCATTTCTTTTCTTCCTACAAAGAAGGAAAATGGTAACGATTTAGAAGATCCGCTCTGGAGCTGGTCTATCTTGGCCACTGGGCAAGCTACTTAGCCTCCCATGGAGCTGTTTCCTCCTCTGTAAAATGTACTATTGTGTACCCACCCTCTATTGTTATTACAAGGGTGAAAATAGTTAAAATACATGAAGTGGCTTTTAATAAAGCCAAGCATTAGAATTTTAAGTCATGGAAATATCAACACAGAGAAGCCTCTTGTAATCCACTTTCCTGACTCACTCAATGAACCAACACTTTCCATTCCCTGCATAGATCATGCTGACTGTGGATGCCTGGAGCAGACCCCGGGGGCTGCCTTCGCTGAGGCACTGCAGTGAATTCCCCTCCACTTCTTTCCTGGAGTTGAGGAAGCCAAAAGGTTACTAAGGCCTCACAAATAATCACAATTGTGGTAAAATTGTCTTAAAACTAAAACCTGCTTTAGTAAAATCATTTGGAAGACCCAATCACTTTAGCAAAATGTACTTTGCTTCATGCAAGGTCTTGAGAAAAATTTCACCATTTTATGTTCCAGATGGGTAAAAAGTGAAGTAATTACTCAATTATTTACTAAGTAAATAATTGAGTCAGAGCCTATTTACCAAACACTCACATGGTGATATAGAAGTGAGCCCTGTCTTAACTTCCATAATTCCTCCCAGCAGCAGAATCAAGCTTGTTAACATTTACAATAAAGCCAGGACATGGCAGTGCTGGTTATTTTATTTTAACCACCAAGGCGAACATCCCCAATTCCACCACCGTTTGTACCTCAGTTTCTTGACGTCTGACACCCAGCGATGCCCCATTCTTTTCATGTAGTTGATCTCCTCTTCCTCCTCGATGATCTGTCGAATCTTGTGCTTCATGTCTGGGTCCTTCACAACCACGAAGGTCCAGGGCTCTGTGTGGGCCCCACTCGGGGCTGTTCCTGTCACCCGTTCCATTAAAATCAGAAATTAAAACTGCAGGAAAGTGTGAGGCTGCAAATTAAGGAAAGGCTGGGTGTGGTGCCTCATCCCTGTAGTCCAAGCATTTTGGGAGGCTGGGACTGGAGGATCAAAAAAATTTTTGCAGAATTTCTTTTTTTTAACTAGCAGGGTGTGATTGTGTGTGCCTATAGTCCCAGCTACTTGGGAGGCAGAGGTGAGAGGATCACTTGAGCTTGCGAGGCAGTGAGCCATGATTGCACCATTGCACTCTAGCCTGGCAACAGAGTGGCATCNAAAAAATGTTTTTAAGGATAAACATAATAACTCATTCTTGGCCAGGCACAGTGGCTGATGCCTATAATCCCAGCACTTTGGGAGGCCGAGGTGGGTGGATCATCTGAGGTCTGGAGTTCAAGACCAGCTTGGTCAACATGGTGAAACACTGTCTCTACAAAAAATACAAAAATTAGCTGGGTGTGGTGGCGGGCACATGTAATCTCAGCTACTCAGGATGCTGAGACAGGAGAATTGCTTGAACCTGGGAGGCAGAGGTTGCAGTGAGCTGAGATCAAGCCATTGCCCTCCAGCCTGGGCAACAAGAGTGAAACTCTGTCTCAAAAATAAAAAGTAATGTATACTTGCTCAAAATGAAGTTAGATAATCCAGAAAACAAATGCCTGGCAGTGGACCCTGTCATGCTGCTGCCAAGTCCATGTTGTTCAGCATCAAGCCAACTGATCACTGATCAAGCCCACTAGTTCTAGCACTGTGGGAACTCACCACTGTGTCTCTAAATATGTGGGAGAAAATGTACCCAAGTAACTGCACCACAACTGCTAAGGAACGAAACTCAGAGGGTTTTCAAAATTTCAAAGTTTTCAAAATTTTGATAGCCACAATTCTCCAGACTATCATTTGTTTTGATATTCTTGAAAAAGAATAAAGCTGTGAAGTTTATTGAAGATGGCAAAATGTACATGGTAAGATGGTTTTTAAAACACTACTTAAAAGGCAACTTAGCTATACATAGTTTGGTCCCTATGTCAAAGCTGTGAGTGTGGCACTGTGAGGTTTGTCCTGCCCTTGGGGACACACAACAGTTGGGGAATCCTTAGCCATGGGTACTCAATACGAACAGCCATGTCTATTTTTAGCCATGGGTACTCAATACGCAGGGCCATGTATATTCTTAGCCATGGGTACCCAATACGAATGGCTGTGTGTCATTCTATTCCCAGGGACCTCGGGAACCCTCAGCCCACACCTTGATCAGTTCCAGTGTTCCAGGGCAAAGCTTCACCTTTGTCTAAGGAACCTCAATTCCCGGTGGGATTCCAGTGAGAGTAGGGGCCAGCTTCTGATCTGGGTGTTACCCCTCAGCCCTGGAGATGGCCCACTGTTCCCAAGAACAGACCATAGTGACTCACGGGTGGGATATTTCAGAAGCAACTATTCCTTCCTTCCCATGGGTAGTTTAATGAAATAAGCTCCACCTATGGAGGGAGGAAGGGCTGAAGACTCTTGTTGCGGTTCTTGTTTGCCACACACCACTCCCAGCACTAGAAGTCACAACTGGCTTGGGAAATGCAAGTCAGAAACTAAACATGAGGCCCAAATTACTGTACAGAGTGATTCTAGTTAACTTTGTATCCATTTTATTTGTTTACTAAATATTTGTATCTCTTGACATAAGAAATAAATTTTTCCCTAATGTTTTTAGTTGTGCCAAATTTACCTTAACAGCATATGTGTACATACACATATAGAAATACAGATACAGGTAAAGGGGAAATTTAGTAACTGCCATTAGTTAGACTAAGGACTCAACGATCTAATGCATTTGTATTTATCACTAAAGTGAAATATTTTATTTTTGCTTCCTTTCATGTTGGACTATGGATTCATAATAGGCATGTGATAATTTTTGCAAATAAACGTGGTTTATGTAAGAAAAAGTACAATCACAGGAGATTCTCAAGTAGGGATCTTTCTCTTATCTCTTCTCCCCATTTTCTGTAGCTCATATTTTTTTTCCTCACTGGAAAAATTAATTTACATTAGAAATGTTTTTTGTCTTCCTTTGGTTTACTTTGCAAATTCACATAAGTAAATTTTGCTAGTTTATGAGAATACTGTACTACAGCATCACAGTGTGTAATATAAGAAATTGCTTCCAAAAAAAAAAATATAACTGTGAGTATGTGAATGCGCGTGTGTCTGTTGTGTTTTAAGGGGAGGGGAAAGAAAGAACATATATCTCCATCGATACATTAATATAATGATGTGATCAGAAATCTTGGTTTTTAATTAAAAATTCATAAACTAAATAATTTCAGAAGTTTTGAACTATTGTCACATCTGCTTCCAAGAAATTTGTAATCATCAAAATGTGGAAAGTAGAAATCACTGTGTTTCTGGCAGTCACTCAACCCTTGGGTAAGACTTTATAGATAAACATATCACTCTAGACTTTATTCACCACGTTAGAACTTTGACATTTTTCCAGTGTTAGAGTCACACCAGTAAGGTGGCTAACATTTCCAAAGAGCCCACCTGCAATTACAAACCTGCCGTTCTGATGACATTATCAATGACTTCCATTGGGACTTGCTCATTACTTATGAACCTGACTGACCGTCTGTTATTCAGAAGTTCATAAAATTCCTGAGATCTCTTAGCCATTTCCTTCTCAGAATAGCGGGTATGTGAGAATGGAATGTGTTCAACATTTTCTTCTGATTCGTGCCATTCATCAACATCTGCAAATAAGAACAAGAAAGGTGACAAACTAAATGATCTCTTGATCATAAGGTGACCACTGGGGAGAAGAAGATAAAGTTCTCAGATGGGTAAGGTTATAAAAAAGAATAGATTTACAGACTCCTTATTACTGATCTTGACTATCATTAAAACTCCAGCTAAGTGCAATGGCTCACCTGTGTATTTCTAGCTGCTCTGGAGACTGAGGTAGAAGGATTGCTTGAGCCTAGGAGTTCAAGGCTACAGTGAGCTATGATCACACCACTGCACTCCAGCCTGGGCAACGGAGAGAGAGACACAGTCTCTATAAAAACAAAAAAAAAAACCAACCAAACAAAAAAAACAAAGAAAAGTCCAGGCATGGTGGCTCAGGTCTGTAATCCCAGCATTTTAGGAGGCCGAGGTGGGTGGATCACTTGAGGTTGGGAGTTCAGGACCAGCCTGGCCAATATGGTGAAACCCCATCTCCACTAAAAATACAAAAATTAGCCAGGCGTGGTGGTACATGCCTGTAACCCCAGCTACTTGGGAGGCTGAGGCACAAGAATTGCTTGAACCTGGGAGGCAGAGGTTGTAGTGAGCCAAGATTGTGCCACAGCACTCCAGCCTGGGCGACAGAGTACAAAAAAAAAAGAAAAAAAAAACCAAAACACCCCCCAAAAAACAAAGAAAAAACAAGCAAAATCTCCAGACTAATTATAAATGAAGAAAAAGAAAAAAATTATCTACAAAAAGATGAGGAATTCAAATGTCTGTTAATGATGGACTAGGTTATTTGAAACAATCTCCCATCAGCTGAAAATCACTCGGATCTCTAAATAAAACACTTTCAAAGTCTTTTTAAAAATTATTGAGCTTACAGCATAGCAAGAAATTTGCAGGCCAAAGAAAATATGAACTCACACAGGTAAATAAGCACAGAAGATACAGTTTTTTTCCTACTGTATTTGCCAATCCCTACACATCTAAATTCCATTTTTATATATTTTCCATTTATATATATATTCAGGGACCAAGGTTGACAAATATCAAAGCCCAGACCCACACACAATGGAAAGTCCAATAAGCTAGGACCCCAAAACTAAATCCTAGGGGAAGTGTGAATCATAAATAAATTATTCCTCAAATGTTTACATCAGTTTGATAAGTCTTGCCTCAAACTTGAGCTTGGAGTAAACTTGGCCTGCCCAAAAGTACCCCAGTTGTCTAGCAAAAGCAAATGCCAATATACAAATAATTTTAAATATCATTATTAGCAACCCACCAAAGGCAATCAGGCACAAAGAGAAGAAAACATCTTGGACAAGAAACAGTAGAATTAATTAAAAAAAAAAAATAAAGACAGATGCCCAAAGACTCCAAATACTGGAATTAGCAGACCCAGAAGATAAAACAACTATGATTGCTATATTTAAAGAAAAAAGACAAACATGTAAATCTATAGGGTACAGGAAAGAATAAAAGGCAAAATAAATAAATAAATAGAAGAAAAAACAAAAACGACAGCAAAAATAAAGAATAAAAGCTAATATAAGCAATCTGAAAAAAATGGAGAACTTCTGGAACAACAAAAATAAAGAATAAAAAGTAATATAAACAATCTGAAAAAACAGAGAACTTCTGGAACTGAAAAATAATAATTAAGAACTTAAAAGGATGGTTGACTATCAGGTTAGACTAGCGACAGAAAAATTAATGAACTGGGAGATAAGTCAAAAGAAAACACCTAGAATTGGGCAAGGAGAGACAAAAAGATAGAAAATATAGATAAAGCATAAGAAAAAATAGAGCAGAGTGAAGAGTGAGAATGTCTAACATACATTTGATCATTTGATTCAAACAGAATGTGGTGGAGGCAATATTTGAAAAGATAGCATCTGATATTTTTGCAGAACTCATGAAACATACCAAATTTACAGATGTAAGAGGTCTGGTAAGTTCTTCCCCCCCCCAACCCCCCTGCCAAGAGCCTTTTCCTTTCTCTTTTTTTTTAAATTAGAAATGAGGCCTTCTATGTTGTCCAGGATGAATTCAAACTCCTGGCCTCGAGAGAGCCTGCAGCCTCAGCCTCCTGAGTAGCTGGGAGTACAGGTGTGCACTATTGCACCTGGCTATTTTTAATGACATTAAACACAGTTGCTACAAGGGGAAGAATACAATTAAAGAGAAGGCACCAAACTTAAGTTTCATAATAAATCCTGACAACAATGCAAGTAAGTCAGGGGCTGCATTAGATGAAAAACTACAAGTTATTTCAGGCTTCTTGCCTATAGGTAAGCTGTGTAAATGGCACGTTTTTACTCTAAGTCCCTGTAAAACAAAGAGTTATTTTTAAAAACTATACTTTTTACAATAAAATATAAAAATCTTAAAAGCAGCTAGAGAAAAAAACATTACCTCAGGAAGAACAACAGAAACAGCTGAATTTTTAACCATGACAAGAATAGTTGCATTAAATGTAAATGAGCTAAATGCTCCCAATAAAGGCCAATGATTATTTTAAGTCCAACTATGTTGTTTATAAGTGACACATCTAAAACATAAGCATATAGAAAGGTTGAAAGTTATATCATGCATCACATATCTAAATTAGTTTTAAAAAATTAAGGTGAAAAGCATTGTAGATAATAAAAAAGGTCAGTTTATAATAATACAATTTAATTTACTGGGAAAACATAATTTTAAATATGTATGCAATTACATTACATGACCTCAAGACAGACTTCCAAGAAGAAATGTAAAAATCCAGAACACAGTGAAAGATCTTAACAGGTCCCTCTCAGTAATAAAAGAATAAGCAGAAGAAAAAAAGCAGTAAGGATACAGAAGGTTTCAAGGCAATTGACAAAAATGACCAAATATTACAGAAAACATTTTTTTTTTTAGACAGAGTCTCGCTCTGTTACCAGGCTAGAGTGCAGTGGCACAATCTCGGCTCACTGCAACCTCTGCTTCCTGGGTTCAAGCCATTCTCCTTCCTCAGACTTCCTAGTAGCTGAGACTACAAGTGTGCCACCACACCCAGCTAATTTTTGTATTTTTAATAGAGATGGGGTTTCACCGTGTTAGCCAGGATGGTCTCGATCACCTGACCTCGTGATCCGCCCACCTTGGCCTCCCAGAGTGTTGGGGTTGTAGGCGTGAGCCACTGTGCCTGGCCAAAACACACATTATTTTTATTTTTTGTTTTGTTTTGTTTTGTTTTGTTTTTTTAAGCATCCTTATTTGTGAAAGCTTTTTAAGTACTGGTAGGCGAAATTATTTGCTTTAAAGTGATTCTGCAGTAAATAAATAATAAGTAATCTGGAGGGAATAAATGAATCAAGACTGACAATATGTACATGCTATTTTTGAATATGCTTGAAAATGTTCGTGATAAAATTTAAAATATACAGAGCTTTTGCTGCTTTATCAAAATACTCTTTCCTCTAGAAGTCCTGTGGCTTCTTTTCCATTGGGGAAGGTGGAAAGATGAAGAATTAAATGCAGAGAATATGATTTATTGTCATTTTTTTAAACAGGGAGGAAGTTAATTGTCTCTCTTCCAATAACACACTCATTATGACTTGTTTACTATGGAAATGGATTTATTTTCATAATTTTATAATTAAATGTTACAACAGCAAACTTGTATCAGGAAATTTTTTTCCCCATTTATTTATTTTATTGCATTTTAGGTTTTGGGGTACATGTGAAGAACATGAAAGATTGTTGCATAGGTACACAGGTGGCAGTGTGATTTGCTGCCTTCCTCCCCGTCACCTACATCTGGCATTTCTCCCCTTGCTATCTCTCCCCAATTCCCCACCCTCCACCGTCCCTCCCCTATTTCCCCCCAACTGACTCAAGTGTGTAGTGCTCCCCTCC